ATAAAATCAGATTAGATTAGCATAAGACCCTAATCACCCCCCTCTAGGGTCTAACAGTCTTGAGTGGGTATAAATACCCTAGTACCTTCCTCTTTCATATAACCAAGAATTTTGTTTAAAGTGAGTTTTATCAAAAGATTAACAAGTGTTTAAGCTTGTTTGTTGGTCTGTTTCAAAAGAAGAGTTTTCTACAACAAGAAGAGGCATTCAATTCCAATTGAGGATCTTATCCTCATCATCTTCTACAGTCCTTACTTGTTTATTGAGAAGTTTTCTAAACTCGTTGTTATATAGCTTAATAATTCATTTTCATATCTTAGCTATATTAATTGAGTTGCATATTGTCTATTCGCTTTTATCACACACACCTTATTGAGCTTATAATATTTTCAATACAATATATTGTTGGGTAGTGGTGTGTGATTTAGTGAGAGTGAGCTTCATTGTGTTCTCATTCATTAATAGAGAACAAATCATTGTATTTGAACCTACATTGTGAGTATCACTTGTAATACACTTGTACACCGAGAGAAGTATGTGGTGTAAGACGGGGTCGAATCCAATAGGAGTTGTGTCGGTTGACAAACCTAGGGAGAGGTTGTATCCGAGCACTTGAGGAGGAGGACACAGGCTAGAATCCTACACTTAGTGTGTATAGTGTGTTTGCATAGTGTTTATTTGTGAGAGTTTTCGGTGAACTTGTAAAATGAGTGTGTAGAAGTTCCGGCTTCCAAACCGGGTTGTCTTAATGAAGATATCCTCGAGGTGAGGAACGTGGACGTAGGTCGTGGGGAACGAACCTCATAAACTTATCGTGTGTTTGTGCTTGCTTAGCGACATTTAGTTTGTGCTTACACTTCTCTTCTTATTCATATCTATCTCATATATCTCTTGCAAGAACAAATTAATCAATATAATTTTAATTGGCATAAAATCGGGATTAAATTAGCATAAGACCCTAATCACCCCCCTCTAGGGTCTAACAAACGTTTGCCTTAAAATCAGGGGGAGAAAACCTTCATAAGAACTGAGTAGTAATGAATACTTAACATAGGGTACAACTTTGATAATGTGCCTAATTTCAAAAGAGTTGATTGATTTCCAGAAGGACTGGCCAGTAATGAATACTTAACACATAATGTTGAGCTCCGATATTGTTCTTTATTTTATTCACTTTCTTTAATTATTTTTATCACTCAGAAAAAACTAATGCAGATACATCTTCTGAAATGAAAGTTGTAGAGAATAGAGAAAACCCTAATTGTTGTTTATTGAGAATAACAAGAGAGATATATATAGCCATACAAATAGGGTTAAGGTTAACGGGTAACAGGCCATTAATCTAATACCCAATATTTAACTTAACACTCCCCCTCAAGCTGGAGCATAGATGTCTACCATGCCCAACTTGTCACATATAGTAGAGAACACCTTTGAAGAAGTAGCATTGGTAAGAATATCAGCAAGTTGTTGCGAGGACGGAGTGAATATGAGAGATACTATCTTCTTCTCCCAAGCATCTCTGATAAAATTACAGTTAACTTCAATATGTTTTGTCCTCTCATGAAACACAAGATTCTGTGTAATATAAATGGCAGACTGGTTTGTCACAATGCATTGGCATGGGTCCAGGCTGAACAAAACCAAGCTCTGTCATAAACTTTCTTAGCCACACCATCTCACAAGTAGTGTGAGCCATTGCTCTTTATTTGACCTCTGCACTAGATCGTGATACTACATCTTGTTTCTTGCTTCTCCAAGTCACAAGATTACCTCCAACAAAAGTATAAAATCCTGAGGTTGACTTTCGGTCTCCCATGTCTCCTGCGTAGCTAGCATCAGAGAAAGCCGAAATGTGAGTATGCCCATGCTTCTTATATAACAATCCCTTGCCAGGACAACTTTTGACATATGCCAAAATCTTTAGAGCTGCTGTCCAATGAATCTCTCTAGGTTTGTGTATAAACCTGCTCAGTACACCTACTGTAAAAGTAATATCAGATCTGGTAACTGTCAAATATATTAGCTTCCCAATTAGGATCTCCTATATCGTCCAGTATCATCTAGGAGAGAGGTATCATCATGCCACAAATCAACATTTGCCTCCATTGGAGTGCTTGCAGGTTTGCATTCCAAAAGATCTGCTTCTTCTAGTAAATCTAGCACATACTTCCTTTGGGACAACAACAGGCCATGTTTTTGATATGCAACTTCAATCCCAAGAAAATACTTTGGCTTTCCCATGTCCTTAGTGATAAAATAACGGTTTAGATGCTCCTTAGTCTCAGCTAAGGCAATAGAGTCACTCCCAGTCAGCAAAATATCATCAACATATACGGCTAAAATAACCAAACCAGTTGTTGTGCGTCGAAGAAAGACAGAGTGATCAGACTGACAACGTTGGAAACCAACATTAGAAATAACCTTGCTGAACTTATCAAATCAAGCTCGAGGACTCTGCTTTAACCCATAGATGGCCTTTCTCAGCCTGCAGATAATATTCTCCCCCTGAGCAACATACCCAGGAGGTTGCTCCATATAAACCTCCTCGTCCAAATCACCATAAAAGAAAGCATTTTTCATATCTAGTTGGTGCATCGCCCAATCCATATTAACAGCCAGAGAGAAAAGAATTCTGATGGAGTTGAGACGAGCAACAGGAGAAAAGGTTTCAAAATAGTCGACGCCATATGTCTGGGTATAACCTTTAGCAACCAGACGAGCTTTATAACGGTCAACAGACCCATTAGGGCGATATTTCAGGGTATACACCCATCTGCAACCAACCACAGTCGCTCCAGTAGGAAGAGAAACCAAGTCCCAAGTCCCTCTAAAAAGAAGTGCATTCATTTCCTCATCCATGGCCTACTTCCAAGCTGGTACTAACATAGCTTCCTCATATGACCTAGGTATAGATACAGTGGACAAGGACAAGGCAAACTGACGAAAAGATGGGTTGAGACGGTCATAAGAGACAAAAAGAGATATATGATATTTCGGGCAAGACCGTTTACCTTTTCGAAGAGCAATAGGGATATCCAAGTCAGAAGGAATAGAGGTTTCAACATGAGATGGACCGACAGTTGGAGATGAAGGTTTAGCAGTAGCAGATTCAGGGGCATGTACTTTTGGACGGCGAGAGTATGTTAGTAGAGGCTTCGGTGCAGGAGCTACAGGAGCATGTAATGGAATAGTAGTAGGAGCAGAAGAAGGTAGTGGTACCTGTGGACAACCAATAATAGTGGAACCAGACGAAAAATATGGGACATACTAAAAAAAGGTAACATCAGTAGACACAAAATATTTCCTGGTGGACGGATGATAACACATATACCCTTTTTGAGTACGAGAGTATCCAACAAAAACACATTTGAGGGATCTAGATGACAACTTATCCAAACCAACAGTTAAATCCTGAACAAAACATATAGAACCAAAGACACGGGCAATCACAGAGAATTATTTTTTTATCAGGATAAAGACAATTGAATGATACCATGTAGAGTAGGTGAGATCTGAGGTGGATGGTAGAGATGCCAGAAGATGTGGGAGTTTGCTCTGAGCGCCAATGAAAATGCGGAAAGCTTGTGCCAATAGCAGATAGTTTGTACCATTCAATTTGATTGTAGTCCCCAAGACTACCTTAGGCGCAGAGGTCTCTTCAGCAATAACAGGAGTAGTTGAAGAGGAAATATCCGACATCGAAGTAGTAGTTATTTTTACGCAACAATAGTAGATAGATAGTAGTCAAATAGGTAGTGCAGTAGTAGAGATAGTATTCAAAATAGGCAGTGCATATAGTAGACAGGTAGTAGTCAAATAGGCAGCAGTAGTAGAGATAGTATTCAAAATAGGCAGTGCATATAGTAGACAGGTAGTAGTCAAATAGGCAGTGCAACAATAGGCATACGAGGCAGAGTAGTAGATAGTAGACAGGTAGTAGTCAAATAGGCAGTGCAACAATAGGCATACGAGGCAGAGTAGTAGATAGTCACGTCCTCACGCTGTGGAGGCGATATCACCTGAGGGAGAGAGCCCTGGCTTCTGTTTGCCCAAAGGCTCCAGTCAAACTCTATATTCTATTTTCTCGAAGGAAACAAGAATAGAAGTGAAAGATCTCAACGAGGTGAGATAGACACTCTTCCTCTCATCAGTTCTATGACTGAAATGTCGAGGGATACAATCGTCCTCTCATCAGTTCGAAGACCGAGATGTCGAGGGAATAGGCACTGTAGCGGCGACAGCACTATAGCAGTACTGTAGCGGCAGCGGCTAGTGGCGGCGGTAGTGGCGGCGGCAAGGAGAAGAGGTGGCGGCGGCTAGAGTTTTTGAATGAGGATTTGTGACGGCTAGGGTTTCATGCTCTGATACCATGTAGAGAATAGAGAAAACCCTAATTGTTGTTTATTAAGAATAACAAGAGAGATATATATAGTCATACAAATAAGGTTAAGGTTAACGGGTAACATCCTATTAACCCAATACCCAATACTTAACTTAACAAAAGTAATATCCAGAACACTGCATGTAAACCTGCTTAATTTACTAGGAAACATGGACATTTAAAAGGTACGCCATTAATTATTATGGGAACAGATACATGTTAATCCTACCGTGAGATTGGAGAATTTTTTGAGAGGAGTAAGTTTTGTACTAGCATTGATAACTAGTACCTATTAAATCGTTCATCTTCACATGAGTATCGATATAACCTATTTCTTGCTTTTTAACCCTGAGAAATGCTTCGTAGTGATATCATAGTGTAGTATTATCCTTTCCTGTCTGAAGTATATCCTGACATTTGGTTCTCCAATGTGGTATAGCTTTTAGGTTGTTTATTCTAAGATCCTTTGACAATTTTACTGACACACTTGCCACGATGAACAAAGTCTGGCTATTTGCATATTCTTAGTGCAAGAGTTTGAAAACCTCAATATATTGATGTACATTGTGATATTTCTGAATCAAAGTTTCCAGGATTCAAGCAGGTAACTTTCTAGTGGCTACAGATAACCCACCACTCCTTTTATCTTCCACCACAGAATTCTTCACTACAAATCAATGGCTTGGCTGTTTGGTGGGAATGTACTCAAGAACAAAATGGAATAATTTTTGTGCCAACAGCCAAGTGGATGGCATCATCAAGTCCATAACTTGGTAAGTTTTTTAGATATTTGTATAGTCATTTTGTAGATCAATGTATATATGTTGAAGGACTATAAAGATCAACCTTGTTGAAGCTTTCTCATCGTGTTCTATATTGCAGGACGATACAATTTCCATAAATCTCAATATTTACATAAATCAAGATGCAAGATGGCCATCTTGAGCTAAGAATTAGTCTAATGATCGCAAAATTTTGCCATCTTCAGCGGAATTTACTATCGGAGGACTACAAAGAGGCCAAGGAGTATATAGAAGATATTAGAGAGATTCGTGATGACTTTAAGGGTCTTGCCAGAGGAATCTTGCAGCCAGCAGAGGTAACACATTATAAATAAACTTGTTTATGTAGAAATAATTCATTGCCAAATCTCTTAATTTGCATGGACAAGGACCTACAAGTAAATTTTTGTTATACTGTAGGAAGATATTAAGAGCAAAGAAAATGGTTGTCCACACTCACCCTGCCCCAAGTCTTTTGCTAATCAATATCTGCGTCAAACTCGAGATGAATCATGGACATTTAAATAGAATTTTGCTAAACGAATGCTGATATGTTGGTGTATAGATTATGTGACACCCAGCTATAATTGCTGTAGAATCTGTACTGGGAATTCAAATAAAGTATTAACAATTAAATATGTAACAGTAGCATCTCTTTGTGCTGAAAACTTAACACGTAAGTTAGCAATACGAGTAAACAGAGAGATATCAGCAAACAACAGTTGCCCAAAGATCTCATTTTTCTAACAATACACGTTTAACATTAGAACTTAAAAGCAAAAAAATCTCAAAAATAAAAAAGAAAAAGGCTAATAACACTTAATTACCTCACAGTTTCACTCTTTTGGCACTTATAGATCATCACTTATTTTTCATAGCAGTTATATACTGTAAGTTGTTTAAATTTGGAACGTTGGTATCCTCTCTTATGTAAACATGAAATTTTTTATCCAACTGTCCTCATGCTAACTGTATTACTTTTAACCATTAATGTTTGTTAAATTTACCATTAAGCCTATACCATCTATACTTTAAAATAGAATTATGATAGGTTTAAGATAGAATTTTGGTAGGTTTAATGTTAGGACGATGTCCGTACAATAGCTCTTGTTTGAATAATAACAAACCCTCATTTGGTACTAATATTTATTTGAGATAATATAGTACATATATAAGCATGTATACAGAAAAATACGAGGCCAAACAGTACAAAAATTAATATTTATCCTGATTTTAGTCATCACATCATCGATGGTCATTGACGCACTATCGATGGTTATGAGACAATCGATGGACTACAGTGCACAATCGAAGAATTCCAGAAATTGTGTTTGACACCATTGATGGTCGTCAGAGAACCATCAGTTGTCAACACAACAATCGATGGTGTATAGTAAATAATTGATAATTTCCAGAAATTGATTTTCAACCATCAATTTGTTATAGGGGTCATCGATGAGGCATCGATGGATCATTGATGGTCGAGATTGCTCATTGATGGTAACAACGCGTTTTGGCAGATTTCAAGAGTTAATCACAATCGCCGTTGATATATTTCATCTCTAACTTCTACTATGATTTAAATATCTCTTTCCTTATTTATTAGAGACTATATAAGATAAGAAGAGATCATATTTTGGGGAAGTTCCATGCTTTGAGAAAAGAGAAATTTTTTTGAGAGATTTTATTTTAGGGTTTGTGAAAAAGATTTGATCTGTGATTTGAATGCTTGGAGCCTCGTCATACTCTTTCTCGTCATGCTCAATATTTTCAGATTGTATCAGCAAGGAGAGTTGCCCTTGGATTCAACATCATCACCATTTCATCATCAACCTTCGCTTTAATCTTTTGAAGAACGGTTTGCTTAGAAAAAGGGTTGTCAGATTTTTTTTCAACTTGTGCTTAAACTATTTTGGTAGCTTGTGTTTTATCTTATTTTTACGGTGTATTCAAGCCGGTGATTATTGAGGATTTAAATTAGCTAGGGCTAGGTGTTACTCATCTGTGAGAAGTTATGTTAGACGACTGGTTTCGGTAGATATCAAGGTGTGGTCTTTGTAAGCCTACCGAATTAGGTTGTGATTTATCTGGTCATAGTGAGGAATTAAGCTCCTTCATGAGAAGGAATAGTGGATGTAGAATTGTTATCCAAAAAAATCTCGTGTGTTCTTTGGTTGGTTTTTGGTTTAGTCGTTCACTTTTATTTTTCTATATTTTCGTTGCATATTCTGTGTTTTAACGAAACACCGCAACAAATCTATTCACCCTCCATCTAGGCTTGCATCTCAGATCCAATATTTAATAGTATAAATTAACAAATATCAACAGTTAGCATTAATCCTATAAGGCAAAAAATTTTATGATTACATGATGGAGGGTAGCAACATGCCAGTTTTGAACAACTGAGGACATAAAAGTGCAAAGTGAGGGAAAGTGTTTTTTTTTTTTTTTTTTTTTTTTGAAGTTAAAAAGTGAGGGAAACTAATTAAAAGGTATTTAAATGCAATTAAGTCAAAGGAAAAAAGTGAAGCTTTACCTCCAACCGCGCTGGGAGGCAGAGCAGCAGTTACAACTAAAGGACTACGGCTATGGCACAGGGTACGGAAGAGAGGATGAGGCCCCATTAACGGCGGGGGTTCTCGCGCACATCCCTCACTGAGTATCTCTGAGGACTTTCACTGCAAACGCAAGGTTGAGATCGCACGACAGATTTAGGGGATTCCGCCGGAGGAGAGATCTCGGTCAAGGGAAGGGGGATCTAACAACATTTTTGGGGAAGAACATTTTGAGAGCGTACGTAGGGGTGAAGCCAAAGTTTCCAGTGGAGACAATACGCACAAAATCAAAATGGATGTTAACTATTGAATCTAACGGTTGACATGAATTTCGATGTTTAATGATCTAATGGTTGATATTAATTTGGTGCATATTTAATGTCATTCATCCGAGATAATTTGATACTTTCTCGGGGAGCGAAATTGAAAGCGGCGGGAAAAAAAATGAAAGGACATTAGTCGCTTCTTTTATCCAAGCTTTGTTTGGTAATTTTAAAACATTGAGCGGATTTTCCGCAATAAACTTAGATGGTTTATTTGCAATTTCTAAAAGTTTAGGGGTTTTTTGTGAAAAATCTGAGGGTTATCTAAAAATTTGAACTATTAAGGGGTTTTCTAAAAAAATTAGAGGGGATTATTTGCAATGTCAGAATCATTCAGGGTTTTTCAAAAATTTTATAGAAGTTTGTTTGCAATTTTTGGGATTTTCAGGGGTTTTTTACAAAAACATTAGGGCTTTTTTACCGTTATTGAAACATCAAAGGAGTTTTTTGTATAAATCCAAAGAGCTTTATTCACAATTTTGTAACTGTCAGGGTTTTTAAGAAAATGCTGGGGTTATTTGCTATTTTTGAATGATTCTAAGGCTTTGTTCATAAATATGGAGGGGTCTCTTACACAATTTCTACAACTTCAGAGGCTTTTTAAAAAAAATTCAAGCCCTTATTTTCATATTCTTAGATATTTAGGGGTTATTTCAAAAAGAAATTAGGGGATTTTTTTGCAATTTGGTTACATTCAGGGGACTTATGCAACGTGTTTAAAGGAGATTATATACAATTATTGAACATTTTAGGGCTTTTTTAAAAATGTCAGGATTAATGCAATTTGCAAAACATTCAGGGCACTTGTGCAATGTGTTCATAGGAGAGATCATATGCAATTATTTAAAATTTTAGGTCTTTTTTTAAAATGTCAGGGTTAATTCAATTCCCGAAACATTCAGGAAGGTTTCTTCAATAAATTGTGAGGGGTTTATTTGTAACTTCTGAAAGTTTATTGGGATCTTTTGCAAAATATTCTGGGAATTTTTTACAATTGTTGAAACTTTCAGGTACTTTTTTGGAAAATGTCATAGGGTTATTGCAATTACTGAAACATGGAGGGTGTTTCTGCAATACGTGCAATATCAAACGTGATTTTGTGCAATTTCTAAAAGCGTTGGGCTTTTTTGTATATTCAGGGGTTATTTCAATTTCTGAAACATGCATGGTGTTTCTGCAATAATTTTCAAAGGCTCTTATATGCAATTTCCGAAAGTTCTAGGGGGGGTTTTGTAAAAGTGTTCAGGGGTTGCATCAATTTCTGAATCTGCTTGGGGTTTGTGCAAAATGTGCATGTGGTTATTTGTCTTTCTGAACAACCAGAGGTTGTCCAGAAAATCTTCAGAGGGCATCATTTGCAGAATCAGAAACTTTCTGGAACTTTGTGCAAATAAGATCAGGGCGGTTATTCGCAGTTTCTGTAGCATTCAGAGGGTTTATGGAATAAATTCATTGCGTTTATTTAAGATTTCGGAAACTTTAAGCGGGTATTTAAGAAAAGTTCAGTATTATCATCCAGGGTATGACGATTACGTGGCTTAATCTCAGGTACCCATCTGCATTCATGGCAATGAGGAATAAAAGGTTGCCTTTTTGCGTAAAACACCCTTCAAAACTTAATGTGATTGTGACTTTACATTTTTAAATAAACGCAAAATTTGGAAACTCTTGGTATTTCCCTTTTTAGAGAAACAGAATAGAGGCCTCGCTTTCATCTTGAGAGGAAACAGAACAGAGGCGTCAACCCTCGCCTCCTCTCTCCTCACGTCCTAACGGCGCCCTACTCTCTCTGCCGAGCAACATCGATCGTAGTGGATACAACTTCAACGTGTATTTAGCAATTCCAAAATAGGACGCCTCGAACAGAGACGCAATATACACCCAAACGATAAGCAGATATACTTATTTTTTAATGTGAATGATCTACTTTTAGTGGCAGCCACAGAGCATACAATAATCAAATATACGTACTCTAAGTCAGTTTCTGATACCAGTTGTTAGGGTATACGTCAATAAGAACGTCTCAAACGGCGACACAATATACACCCAAACGATTTTGAAATCACAGAAAAAGACACAAATTCAATCACAGGACTCACAGATATAACGTGATTCACTCTTATAGAGTTACTCCACGGTACAATGACTACGTTCAATTCTTTTATATTCCAAAAGAATTAGATCAAATAGAACATCCTCTCTTGATCAAGATACACTCCAAGAATTCTCATAAACCCTCGCATTGATATTAGGAAAAACTCTCTATTTTTTATTTCTCTTACTCTTCTATAAGAAAAGTTGTTTGTGGAATGATTTTTCCTGAAGAGTTTTGGTTCTATTTATAGTGTTTGAGAAACATTATGGATTAATAAAATATTATTAGTGATGAGATCCGTCATTCTATTAATTTTGTTGCCGAAATCTTTGATTTTGGTTTGTGAGGCCCGTCGCTTTTTCAAAAATTCAACGGCTGACACAAATCTCCCCAACCCGATTTCCTGCGTTGTTCTTTGTCATGTACAATCCTACTGTACATTTTTACCGCTGAGCTACACCAAAGATGCTTTTAATTTGGTTAACTTAATGTTATAATTGTGAGATAAAAATGCTGTGAGTAATTGAACTTTTTATCGTACATTAATGTAACTTGTAGATCAGTTAATTTTAAAAGTTGAAAACTTCATGCAATATTGACACCATATTTTTTAATGTAAGAGTATTAGCAAATGCAAGCATTATAGTTAACTTGAAGCGTGTGAATTAACAAGTGCACATTTATTACGTATGCTATCAAAGATTTACAATAAATAAAGAGGGAAGGTATTGCCAAAGTTGCAAGAAGACATATCAGAATTAAAAAAATATTGCTAATATGCATACATACCTTTTGAGTAGTAAAAAGAATAAGCACTCCCAATCCTCATCTTATGATCCTCCGAAAAGTGAAACTTACAAGCCATAATAACTCAAGCAATTAAAAGCCTGGGATCAAACTCTAAATTTATGCATCATTTATCACATGAATTAATTGCTACATTGTCTCCTCTTTTTCCCTCATAAGTGTGAGTAGGAACGTGGGAACGTGGGCGGGAGGGTGGTGAGGGGTCAAGCCGGCTGAAGGCATAGATCACTAAGGCATATGCCTAGGGCCCCCATTTTATTGGGCCCCCCAAAAAAAAATTCTATATATATATATATTTATTTCTATAATTAATTAGATTGTAACAGTAAAAAAAAGAGAAAAGCACATATTAAATACTCATTCTTATTTATGCATAGTTTATGCATTTTTTCTCTTGCTAACTTCCTTTATTTTCTTCTCATTCACTCATCTTTCATATTTGTTTAATCTTTGATACTCAACATACATAATTACAATTCTAATCCAGAAGGCCCCAAAATAAAAGGTAAGCTTGTTGGTTTTTATTTATTTTAATTAATTTACATTCATTCTCCTCTCACTCACTCACACACACACACATATATATAGCTCATGGATATGTTCTGTATTTTGTGTTTTTATTTTTTTTTCTTTTATATCTTTTTATTAATAAAATCTTATTTACGTTCAACAATGTCTCAAGAGATTAAATAATTTGACAATTTTATCAATTGAATATTAAAGCTTGAATATAAAATTTAATTAGTAGCTTTGCATCTCAAAAAGCCAGAAAATTAAATTTTATATAAAATTTATTTTTTTAAAAACTAATATTTAATTTTTTTTAAAATGTTATGGCCCTAAATATTTTTCTCTGCCTAGAGCCTCAAAAATGCTTGAGACGGCCCTGGGGGATGCTCCCACGTTCAGCCCATGCTCACAGCTTGTGAGTGGAAACAAGCATGGTAGGGGTGGGGTGGGGTGGGGGAGGGGGGGACAAGTACTATGCACCATGTTGCCCATGCTCTCAGCCTCCCCCCTATAGATTTTCGTGCTCTTTTTTGAGCTGGTTCCAACATCTCTTCTCCTATAAATAGGAGAGGTAGTGAGGTAGAGAAGTGGTGGGGAAAATCTAGCTAGTGTGGGTTTAAGTGAAGTTTGAAAGAAAAGAGAGAGTGAGTTGAGAGAGAACTTGAAATAGTTTGGTATTCTCCTCATAGTAAAAACCTCCTCCCGTGGATGTAGGCAAGTTTGTCGAACCACGTAAATCTCGTGTCTGTATTGTCTTAACTGTGTGTTTGTCATTGCTTGTAGGTTCCCTCGACATTTAAGTCTTAGAACTGATGAGAGAAAGAGGAAATATTTCACTTTCAATTCTAGTTTCCTTTGAGAAATAAGAATTTCATTATCTATTCTAGTTTCCTTTGAGAAACAAGAATATAGA